ACTCCTAGTGATCCTCCTATTTTCAGCCTCCCCTGCGCTGGGATTACAGGCATGTCCCACCACACCTGGACTTGGTCACTGGCTCAGTATGCCCGTGGGTGGGGCCAGAGTGGCATGTGATGCCCAGGATCAAACCCTGGTCCCTGCACTTGCCTAAGCAGGCGCTTAATCCACTGAGCTATCTCACCAGCCACATTATCTTTAATGTAATTGCGGAGGGAATACAGAGAAATACTATATTTCATCAATTCTAAGATGCAAATTTTTAGTTCTAAAACTGGATGTGAATTATAATAAAAGTACATAGAAGGCAAATTGATGGAGAAAAAGACAGAAGGGAGGAGGAAGAAAGAGAAAAGCTGTGAGAGCCAGGTGTGGTGGGCCAGGCCCATACTCCTAATACTGTAGAAGGCTAAGAGAGGAGGATCACAAATTTGATTCCACCTTGAGCACCTTAGTGACTTATAGACTCTGGGTCAAAATAAAAAATAAGGGGCCAGGGAGATGGCTCAGTAGAATAAGCACTTGCCTGGCAAGTGCAAGAGCCTGAGTTCAATCCCTGGTTCCACCAAAAAATAAATAAAAAATAAATAAAAAGGGCAGTGTAGCTCAGTGGAAAGGCCTTGGATTTGATCCCCAGTATGAACAGAGTAGCAGGGGGAGGGGAGATTCCACTTTTACACCACCACCACCATTATAAAAAGATGTTTAGGAGACAAAGCGCATTTCTCAGTGGCACATTAATTTGGTGAGATTTTCATTCTCTTCTAATTTTCTCTCGAAGAAATCCATCTTTTCAGCAGTAAATGTGTGTGTGTGTGTGTGTGTGTGTGTGAGAGAGAGAGAGAGAGAGACAGACAGACAGACAGACAGACAGACAGACAAACAGACAGACAGACAGAGACAGTCTCACTATGTACTTCTTCAGGCTGGTCTTAAATTAGCTAGGCAGCCCATGCTGGTCTTGAACTTGAACTCAAGTTGATCCTCTTCCCTCAGCCTCCTGCCTGCTGGGATTATAGGCATGCACCACCACATCCAGCTACAGAAACTCTTTGTTTACAGGAACTTTTTCCTCTTCCTTCCTCACAGCTTTCCTTCAGTGGGAATGCCAAGCCCTGAGAGGTCCTAGTGGCTCCATAGCTCTGTCCATATACCTTGAATAGATCTTTACTCTTCCCTGAAAGACAGGAGGGGAAAGCTTCTGAATTCTTGTTTGCAACCCCTACTGTCATCCTGCTTGATGTGTTTGGAGAGCACTGCTCAGATGAGCTTCTATAGCTACTCTATCAAACAATCAGGCTTGCTACGTCTGAAGGACACTGATCAGATGAACTTCTGCAGCTGCTCTATTAACCAATTAGACCTACTTCTACAAAAATAAGAACAGACTGCTTCCTGCGGTCTCAAAATCCATTTTTTTTTAAATCCTACTTTTTTTTTTTTTTTTGGTGGTACGAGGGATTGAACTCAGGACTCTACACTTGCCAGGCAGGTGCTTATTCTACTGAGCTATCTCCTCCAGGCCCTCAAAATCCAAAGATCTTTGAAAACCAAAATCTTATAACTCTTCTGGGCACAAAACCTGACCTGACAAACTATAGTCCTACTTTATTTCATTTTGTATGATTCTATACCTGTTTCTCTGGAGAAATATTTTGTATT